TCAATAAATATCCCTCCCAAACCATTTTACATTATATTTTTGGTCCCACGTTTTAGATGTACCACAGGCTTTTAACTGACGCCAAACTTCTGGGTACTTGCCCAAATATTCACTTTGCTCCAGACCTTTTACAGTTCACTCATGTTTAATAGGCATCAAGGCCATTAAATTTAATTGTAACCATATTGTCTCTGCTTAACAGTAAATGGAAAAGAATGGACGCCGCAAACTTTAATATTCACAAAGCCTGGTCTAGGCTAGCATTTTACTGGAAGGCTGTATCCACTTCTGAGCCCCAAAGGTCAAGAGACAAGGAAAATTTGAATAAAGTTCATTAAGGCCCTTAGGAGACACTAGAGCTATTCAATCCAGAGAAGAAAATAATGAAGAATTCCTTTATGTACACATATCCCCCACTTCTCAAAATTTCACATTACACCACTTGGCTTTTACAAAAGATGTACATTTGTACCTTTTTCCACTAATCAAAATAAATCTGATGAAGAGTTTCACTTTAACAACAAAAAGTACATGCCTTTTATAACAAAAGTCAAAATGCTAAAATAACACTCAGTATTTCTTTAGCAGCAGCCTGGGGGAGGCAGTGCCCACCCTGAGCAGCAAGAAAGAGAGTTACTGTCAAACTCCTTTATATAGCCTGTGTATTTATCCAATCATTCCTGCTTTAACTACGTTAGCATTATTTTAGGGTTTATGTGTTATTTGGTACGATATAGTAGGCTATTTCTGGGAATAATAAAATGTTTTCCATATAAATTAATGGTAATTGCTTCTTTGCTTAAGAACATTTCAGCTTTCAAAAGGTTTTGTAATGCATCTGAAGCCAGACTGTAACAGGTGGTGCCCCTGGAGCGGGCTGCCAGTGAGGATGGGTAGCCCCAGGTGAAATGCTAACAAAGTATTGGTAGTGGGTGGAGACCCTCACAAGAAATGTAAGGGACTGCAGAAGCATCCCCTAAAATTCAGGGTTCAGGATTTGAGTGTTTGGGATTTCAGCACTTTTGGATCCTCAGAAATTCCAGGGTCATCCATTTCTACCCCTACCATGCTGATCTTCCAGAAGGCTGTTGTGGGCCTCTGAAAGACGAGGAGAAACTTCCAACAGTCAACCTCAGAGAAAAAAAAGTTCAGAGGCTTTGCAGATAGCCATGTGACTGAAACTGTTCCCAGCTTTGCTGCTGTTACAGCCTGGAAGGAAAGGTGAAGGCCCAGAGCTGGGCACCTTGCTGAGCTGTGTGAGTGTGCCTATTTGTTGGGTCACTAGGCTGCCATACCTGTTGTTTTGAGAGGCGCTTGTCTGGTGCTGGGCTGGGGCATCTCAGCAGCTCTGTGAGCATCTCCTGTTGTGTCTTTTGCTGTCTTTGTGAGTTGGATCCCGGGCTCTAGTCTGGCTGATGCATGCTCTAGGCCCCCACAGGTAGTGACATACCATCTTGGGAGTGTTGAGGACTATAAAACACCTGACACTGCTTTGCTTCGGGTGAGGTAAACAGCCATTTGTGGCCTCAGTGACTCTTTGTTTTACCCTGGTTTGTGAAATAAATACCATTATTGTTGTTCTCTGAACCTTAGTCCTGCAATTGTGCTCATGGGTAAAGAACTCAGACAGTGACCGTTAAACTATTTGGTCACTGTCCTTGGCCAGTTTTAGTGCCTCTTGCTGCCCTGCACTTTCAAATAGTAGGGGAAACTTGTGTTCGAAAAGTTTAATAAATGAATTTTAATTGTCTACAGTAAAAGTTTTTTAGACTCCAATGGGGCATTATTTTAGTTGAGTATAAGAAGCTGTATATTCTAACATTTGAAGTTATTGGTGCTTAATTCCAATTAAGAACTAGTAAGTATGGAATTCTTCGAGATTTGAAAAAGAGGAGCAAGTCTCAGTTACTTGGGTTGATTAGTGCATCTTTCTTGAAGATGTGTGGTTAGAGTCGGTATTTTCTGAATATCTGTTCAATTCTACTTTGCTAGTACTGGTAACCAAATACACAGCCTTCTGATTAGTCTACTTAAAGACAAATAAAGGGCCTCCCTGGTGGCGCAAGGGGTTGAGAACCGCACTATGAGGAAATCCGTAGCCTCTGCGGCACGGGTTCAATCCCCGGTCGGCCATGGAGAAACCCACATGGCAAGGCAGACCCAAATTGCCCGCTAATCCCCTCAGCAGTGTGTTTCGGTCAGTCTGCCTGCTCTGTTCCCCACTCTGTCTCTGGTGAATCCTCTCACCCCCCCGCATCTCTGCCATGTACCCCAGCTCTTGTTTGCATAAATAAATAGATCTTTAAAAATAAATAAAGACAAGTAAAGTTTAAGTAAATCCAGAATGTGATGAAATAAAATGCAGAAAAATGGGTACTGCCATTTATGTCTATGGAGAGGATTTATTTGAAGCATTGCCCTATCTGGTTATCATTTGCAAATAATAACCCTTGCCTTTGGTGTTTCCCTACACCCACTTTATAGTCTTGCAGGCTATTTTACTGACATCTGGTTATTTCATGTCATTCCTAGCAGCAAATATAGTTTCTTCCCTCTCCACCATAAAAATACACACTTCGCTATTAAATTTTCCCAGGCATGATGCCTTCAAATTAAAATGTTGAATCCTGGTTCCCACTTTTTTGAGCAAAACATTAATCTCTGTCAGAGGGTGATATATACTTAGCAAGTATAATCTATTTCCATAGTGCTTCTACTGCTGAGAATTTTAGTCCAGTTCTTAGAAAGAGACTAAAGGGACACTGGGTTGCTTCTGAAATCCTACCAATCAGGTGCCTCAATCGTCTAAATGTTTAGACCAACATAGATAAACTAGCAAGCAAACAAATTAGATTTATATGATGAGATCTCTTTCTATTCTATTTCCCCACTTCTGCTCTATTTCCCCAGAATGGATATGAATTTCTAAATATAAAATTAAATCATCTTTCAAGTACTCTTTTTTAATTGACTATTTCTGCAAACTTCTGAAACGGTTAAAAAAAAAGAAGAAAGTTATGTCTAATTCATTTAACAATAATCACGACACACCATCATATGAATTGGAAGGGTCTGTTAATTATGTCTCTACAATGGAAAATTTAATTTTCTTTGCTTCATTAATTAGCAATAAAGAAAGATTTTCAGGGATTTGAATTTCAAGCAGTGTTAATGACAGGTGACCCAAGAATACTTAATTGTTTCCTGGGCAATTTTAATAAATTGAAGAGTTATTAATTTACCAAGATTTAAAGCTGAACTCAATTTCTGTTTGTCATAAATGTATTGCTTTTAAAAGCTAGAAGAAGGAATTGCTCAGAAAAAGTCATCTAATAGTCATAAGACTCTTTTGTTGTTGCTGTTATTTGTTTTGCTGTATTTGATAGAAAGTGTTTAGATAATACCTGGACCATAAAGAATTTTGGGATAGGGCAGAAACATTTGGTACAGGTGAGATTATGAAGACTCTGTTCTTGTTATATCTTAATTATCATATCAATATATCACATACAAAGATTGTATTCCAAAATACATTGGCTTTAGAATCAGAGTTGTCTGAATTTTTTCTGTTATGATGGAATAAATCCTGCAAAAATTACTCACATTTCTGATATTCACTTACCACATTGTAAAATGACATATATTTGGCATTCAAGGACCAGAAATTACTGTTTGGGGGACACATGAAAAAACAGTAACAAAGCCCATAGAATCTGAAAGTTGTCCTTAGGAGGCAGAGGAGACCTAAAATTCAAACTGGGCAGGACTGTCATAGGAAGGTTGTCATAGGAAGGTAAGTAGTAGGATGCCATGGAAAGATGTGACATTATTAGTAAGTCATCGGTGGAAGATTGCTTTATTATTATCTCCAAACCGAAAAGATTTCATTATTAAGTTTATTAAGTTGTATTTATTAGCAAACTGTAATTCTACATCAATTGTATATCTTATTTAATCAAATAAAAGCAAATTAACATTAAGTGTAATGATTATTTAAAATGCCTTAGGACCTTAATGATATAGGATCAAGTTATAACTTTTTGTTTTCAGTAGGAATAAATTAGTTTACTTATTTCCCATCATTTGAATACCTTCCTATATTTGGGTTATGATCAAAATTTTACTAGAACTTTACTTAATATATGTGTATTTCTCCAACTTGTAAGAAATCTGAAAGTCAAAGACTATTTGCCCTTTTATTCTTAAATGGATCATTGCCACACCCTATACTTAGGCTTATTATGTTTCCACTGTTCATATTCCTTCTGTCCATGCTTATTGTTTATACCTGCAAAAAAAAATGCAGCACCAATTCCTGTCTGGTTACAAATTAATGCCATGACCTTTGCTGTCTTTCTTATATTCCTAGAAGCAGCACTTAAATGTAAGATTAAAACCATCCCCATTCAATAAGTAAATGTTTGTGTATTATCAGGAATAATAATGCAGCTTTAGTTTTTACAGGAAATGGAAAATAAAACCTCAAGAAATGGATGCAACCCTTCAGAATGGCTTTCAAATGGGCAGTGCTGAAAATTGATCTGGTTACTTGTCAATTGCATTATTCAGAGATGACATCAGCAGCAAAGCTAAAGCCATTGCTGGCTCATTTCCTACCCCATGGCAGCCTTTCATAACCAAAAAATCCTATTCTGTAAAGATATAAGCATCTCCAGACCTGTAATTTGAGCTTTGAAACCTAATTAAACAACTTTCTACCCAATTTAATTAAAAAACACTGAACCAGATTACAAACACCTGTACACAAGACAACAAACAGTAACAAAATATTTGATAGCATATCATCACCAATGTGTCATTCTACAGGAAAAGCAGGCAGACAATTGAGACAGTTTCTATAATATTATTTTTGTTTGTTTATGAGCCTTTTTCTACACTAGCTTGTTAGATTATTGACAACTGAAATGGCAAGAACATACTCTGTGATGTTCTTCAAACAATTAGTCTGCGCCATCAGTGCAAAAGACATCATGCTTTACCTGGGGGATTATGTTCATTGAGTATCACAAGTGATGCTGGAGTCGGTCTTCTTTTCCTGATCTGTGAAAAACAAAGACCCCCATGAACATCAGTGAGAGTCGGATGCTGCTCTACTTTAAAAAAGTATAAAATATATCCTACTCTCTTATCTTTTCCAAAACAAAAGCAAATTTCTGGAGGAGACGCAGTAGGTGCTCATTAATTTTATTTTGAATAATAGAAAGCCAGACAGGAGAACTATCATATATTAGTATCACATTCTCTGTTGGAGAAAAGTACATTTTAATAGAGAAGACATAGTTATTTATCACCAAATCACATCACTGAAAGTTATTATGCAATGAGGGTATGAGGATGACTTGCTCATTTTATTGACTCTCCTGGAAACTCATAATACTGGTGATGCTTTTAAGATCCATTATCTCTATTTCTAAACCTGATAAGAGAAGCTTAGAAAACTCAAACTTCCAGGTTAAATTAAACAGCATTAGTTGTTTTTCCTAGCATAATATTTCGAACAAATTGACAAAGAATGAATATGGATTTTATGGGAGTTTGTAATCAACTTAAAACTACTAGTTTGTTGTGGGTTTTTCTCATTTTTAAAGATAAAGGAACATATTATGATTAGAATCTCTAATATATCCATAACTACTTAAATAGATAAATTCCTAAAGTATAAGTCAATAAGGGAGAACACAAAATTTACCAGTAATATCTTCTCAAGGATAAAATCAATATAGATACATGTTCAAGATTGCATTAATTTGGCCTAAACCTGGGTAGATTTACTTCAAGGTAATCGAAAAACCTAGAAAGATATGAGTCTCAGACTCAATAATTATATTTAAGATTTTGTATATAATGTTTGGGAAAGGATTCATGGATAATTAAAGCTTTAAGAAATAAATGAATTAGCTTGGTGACCTAGTATATTTCCTTGCTTTTGCTTACATTGTTGTAGTTTCTTCACATATGATTTTTTTAAGTGGTTTCATTGTATGGAGCCTAAGTAAATGAGTATTAGAGGTGATATAGATATAAACCAGTCATATGTGAGAGAAAGAGAGGAGAAATACAGAAAAGTAGACATGGTAGACATGGAAAAGGAATTCAGGAAATGTCAAATATTAATCTTTGGATAAAATGCTTCTTAAATTATGCCTATATCTATAAATCCTATCAATTATGTTTCATATATAATTATTGCTTTGAATGTAATGAAAAACATTAAAATAAAATATTAAATCTATATCCTGAAATTATTCTAGGATTTAATACTTTCATTGCTAACTCAATCATTTTTTATAAATAATAAACTAAAAGTTGCTAATTTTAATTTTTTAAATGTTTTTCTAAATTGCACCTGTTTAATAAACAAAAGCAAATAGATTTTTGGATCCAACTGTGAATTAGTAATATAACCATTTTTCTTTAATAGGTGCTAGTTTTTATTACCTAAAGTGCTGCATTTTAGCCAATATTTCCCCAACACAACTCAAATATAAGTGCATATGCAAACTGACTAATTTCTTAGCCACATATCCTGGAAAGTTCCAAAGTTAGGCAAATTCACGAGATAGAGAAGTCAATAGCAAAAATTCATGTTTGTATTTTTTATGTATAGGAACTGGTCCCCACCCAATTCCACTTACCTGCTCTGCTGCTTCGGGTGCAATCTGACTCTGGAATAAAGGCACAGCAAATTGTATCTTTTTGGGACTGTTGGGCTCCATGATAATGATGAGAATTAGTCAGAGACGTGAAAGGCTCAGAAAGACTAACCCCAAGTGGTGTCTGGGATGTGTTTCCTTAGCCGCACTCCACCCAGCCACAGAAAGTGCTTTGTAATAAATAGCTGTAATTCCAGAGCAAGCAAGTGAAGATGCTGGGATCCGAGTAACCTTCTTCAACATCCACCGTGATGCCTGGCTTGCCGGTTCTCCTACCAATCCCTTGATCCTCTCAGCACAATACAGAAAAGAACAATAAGCTGATTGTGTGCCTCTTCTCTAATACACATGCCAAGCATTCACTCAGCAGCTAATTGAAAATGCGATGCTAGCCTTGAAGGACCCACTGCCCTGGGATTTGAAAGAAAGGCTCTATCCACTGTACATTACTAACCAGCTGCTTAAAAGTGCAATGTAAGCTACCTCTGAGCATTGCAGGGATGGACCATTCATTATTGATGAACACAGAACAGGAAGTTTTTAGAGTTGGGGGCAGGGTATGGGTATGGAGTCATTTCGTTTCTCTTGTAATAACTTATAAGGCAGACACCTTAGCTATTTCACATTCAGCCACCAAAGAGATGAATGACCATGGAAGGTAAGCCACAACCAATAACATCAGCTATATTTATCTGTGCGTTCTGGTTTGGTAAGACTGACCGGAGAGCATCTGTGATGTAGGGAGGACAGCATTGCCCTGGGGCTAAGCAGATCTTAGTTCAAGTTCCATCTGTACCAATTACATGCTCTGTGACCTCAAGCCAATCACAGACTACGTTTAGGGCCCAAACTTTCTTTAAAAATGAGGGGGTTGGACTCCATGACCTTTAAGCTCCTGTTCTGTTCCAACATTCTTTAATTGTAGTTCACAGTTTTCATTAGAGTGAAAAGATTTGGACAGCTAAATTTAGCTGCTGCTGCAGTGACCTCTCTTTCATTTCCTGGTGGAGCCAGTTATAGCCTCTGATTTGGAATAATACAGTGTGAATAGAAAACATTAGTGCAAGCCTAACTGTATCCAATATTGTGGTTTATTGTCAATAGTGGGATATATGTGAAGACTTCAAAACAAAAGGGGCCTAATCTCCAAAATGATAGAGGTTGATAGTCATTGGCTAGTGTGAAGGTAGAGGGAGACATTGACCTGATTTTCACATTGGTTAGTGTGAAGGGGAGGCAGTCACATGGTAGGAAGGATGGCTTTTCTGCATTTGACTCCTTTGGTGAAGGGAAGTCTAAAAATGAAGCTTCTTGAAAGGAAGAAAGAACATGAGTCTCTATTTCCTTATTTGAAAGCTATTGTTTAATAAATACTAGATGTGTTTACACTTCTGGATTTATAAAATCCATTTAGACATTGACTACCGGGCCTCCCCGGTGGCGCAGCGGTTGAGCGCTGGGTTGCAAAGCTGGCGAAGCTGCCGCAGCGTCTGCGGCACCGGTTCGATCCCCCGGCTGCTCCCCGGCCACCGGAGGAGGGTCCCACATGGCGCGCAGACCTCTCCTGCCGCCCGCTGCTCCCCTCAGCAGTGTACTTCGGTCCTTCTGCCTGCTCTGCTCCCCGCTCTGGCTCTGGTGAATTCTCTCACCCTCCCGTGCTTCTGACTGTACCCAGTGCATGTATAAACAAAAACAAACAAACAAACAAACAAATAAATAAATAAATAAGCATGCCTCTATTAAAAAAAAAAATTTAAAAAAAAGAAATAAAATAGACATTGACTACCATTGCCGGTGTTTACAAATGAAGATTGTAAAATTTTTTTAAATTTTGGTTTCATACCAAAATCATCTTAATGATTTAAGTATACAAGGTTCTGTTGAAAGAATAGAGAAAGCAATATGCATTATTCAAGTAGTCATCTATACCCACTAGAGGAAAAGCAAATGATGTGGATGTGAAAGCACTTTTAGCAGGAGAACAGTGCAGCCCAGCAAGGAATCTTGTGATGGATTCATTCTTACAGTGTCAAAGGGAAAAGCTGTAGGAGTTGAAAGCAAGCATTTGGCAGCCCTCAGATTAACCCCTGGCTCTACTATTTACTCAGTTGATCAACTTAGACAGTAAGAGAACTTTCTTCTTGTAAGACTTAGATGAATAAATTATTTAAAAGAGTTCATTAGAATGCCAGCACATGATAATCACTAAGTAAAGGATAGTTATTATTTTAGATTTTTCAAGAGATTTAAGGTTACGTGTATTTTAAACCTGAATTATAAAAAGTCTCTATTTGGAATTTGATACTAGTTAGGACAGTAGGTAATGAAGTGAAATTCCATGAATGCATTATAGTACAAATATCAATAAAATGATGCTTATTAACTTATTGCCCTATTTTGAAAAGTTTTACCAGAAATAATACCACGAAGAGACTATCTAGCCCCTTTAAGTTGCTTCATCACTAGGCCAACTCGTGAACATCCCTCAGAATTCAGCTGAGTATCATTGCCTCTAGTTAGTTTTTCTAGATTCCTAGGTACATGTGTTTAAATCTAGTTTTCTGGGTCTCTCTGGTGATATAAGGGGTTAAGCGCAGCACTATGAAGCTATCCACAGCCTCTGCAGCCCAAGTTCGATCCTCAGCCAGCTAGGGAGCTGCCCACATGGCACAGCACACCTCTCCTGCCTTCCCACTGCTCCCCTTAGCAGTGTGTTTCACTTAGACTGCCTGTTCTGTTTCCCACTCTATCTCTGGTGAATCCTCTCACCTGCCCTTGAACCTCTGGCCTGCACCCCGGTTCTTGTATGCATAAATAAATAAATCTTTAAAAAAAATTAAATCTAGTTTTCTGTGCTCCCAAATTACTCTGCATACCTCCACTTATTTTAATAACTACCTATCTGTCTTTTAACTGCTTAGCATTTTGCTTATCCACTCAGTCACATAGCAAATATTTCTTAAGTAGATACTACAGTCTAGTTTATGCCAGATCTTGGCTATAGCATTAGAGGAGAGATTGTGTTAGAAGGTGTTTATTGTTCTTTTATAGCTAAACAACTTGTTATTACAAGAATTATTTAATATGTAACTTAGATTTGAAATAATCTGAAATATTTACTGTGCTTATATGAGGAATTATACTACATATTAGGTGGACAGTTTTTTTCTCCCTGTAGAGTTAATAATAACTAAACTGTACATGATACCATATGCCAGGCCATTATTCTAAGTGCCTTACCTGCGTTAGCTTTTTAATACTCATAAAATCCCTTTGAGGTAAATACTTTTGCCATCCTCACTCCTAATGTAAAACAAGAAAATAAGAATACAAGAGTCTAGGTAATTTGCCCAAGGTCATTCAGCTAATGTTTGCAGAATCAGAATTCAAATCCAGGTAATTTTGCCAAGAGCCTGGTTTCTTAATTGTAATGGTTACTATTGTATAAAGGTCCATGGAAAAGTGGGTAGAAGGCACCAGAATCTCTACAGTGATTACAGGTTTTGATCCCAAGAGTTCTACCATAAAAGATCTTTTTCTTTTAATTCTTTTTTTTTAAAGGTTTATTTGTTTATGCATACAAGAACTGGGGTACAGTGCAGAGGTGTCGGGGGCGGGTGAGAGGATTGACCAGAGACAGAGTGGGGAGCAGAACAGGCAGATTGACTGAAATACACTGCTGAGGGGAGCAGCGGGCGAGACAGGAGAGGTCTGCTGCGCCATGTAGGTTGCTCCCTGGCTGGGGATCGAACTTGCTGCAGAGGCTATGGATAGCTTCACTGTGCTGTGCTTAACCCCTTGCGCCACAAGGGGAATAAAAGATCATAAGGTAATATAATGAGTGAATAGAAGGAAAGAAAGTGGCATGATTAAGAGATACTAGTAATCAAGATCTTCCCTTTCAAATTAGATATATTTCATGGAGAATCTAGAATTGGGTGTTATGCTACCAAGCTGACTTGAAAAAAGGCAGCTTTCCTTTTCTCTTGCTTTGTGGTTTTCTTTTCTTTTTTTTTTTTTTCCAGTAATGGGTTCTATCATTAAAGATTAAAAATGCCTCTAGAATCAGCATTACCTGCTATCTTCCTTCAAAGTAAGTAATACTGTAACAGGGTGGTCTCCAGGAAAGGGGGAGGTTCCAGGTTCCCTGCCCCACCCAAGGGAGGGTGGAGCTGAGCAGGGAGAGAAGAAGCTGCAGAGGAGACTGAGGAGGGAAGGAAGCAGGATGGAGAGCAAGAAAGAGCCCTGGAGGAGGCACATGGAGCTGAGAGACATGTGAAGAAACTACACTTGCCTTTTGGTCATGGACTGGGTGACACAGATGTGGGTGAGAGACCTGTGGGGAGGTGACAATGGCAGTTTCTGTCTTTTCCTCCCAGACTTGACTGGTGGTTTCTGATCCTTTTCTATGTGTCCCCACTAGAAGATGCTTTAGACTTATGGCAGGCTTTGGGGCCTTGCTTTGGTCCAGTCCCACTTGGGTGGACTTTTACCCACGAGGGGACGGGTAACTTTGGGTACTTGATTTAGAAAATAGATTCTTTGCCTTTCCTGTATTGTTTCCTAATTGTATTAAAGTTCCTTCCCAGTAAAGTCTCATAGTTTTGTGTTGATTCGGTGGATGGCAGAACCTATTTAGAGCAGGCAGGTTTGCAGGGTCTGGGGTGCACATCTCTGTCCTATAACAGATGTGGTGCCCAACGTGATTTAGGACAGAGCCATCCATGATTAGTCAGCCCCGTGGGGAAATTGGGCTTCCCTATGGCACTGGCTACCATAAGTGCAAGTGTGATTTTTGGTTTCTCTAGTGTTTGTTTCATATGTAGATTTGCTGTACAAAAACTGGCTTGGGCTTTGTAAAGATTCTGTGTGTTTGTGTGTAATTTGTTTGTAGTGACTTGCTAAGAGATTTGATTTTGTAGAAATTGTTCTGTGCAACAGTTTTACTCAAAAGATTAGGTACTAGGTTGGACCATGTGGCCAGATCAAAGATGGTGTCTGAGGCCACTTGCCAGGCTCTTAAAATTTAGAGGTTCTTGTTGCTAGGACTTTGGACCTTTTTTTTTCTTTTTGTGATCTCTGCTGTCTCATTAGCATTTCTAAAGGCAATAATGATTCTTCAGTGATAATGTTGCTTTGTATTTGACTACTTCTTGACTTCTGCCTGAGGGGTTTTGCAAGCCAACTGTGGAGCAGTGGTGTTTAAATTAGCAAATGTATGCCTGGGTGTTAACAAAAGTTAACTGTTTAAAAAATTTAGAAAAAAAGTTTACTGGTCATTGCTGGTAGCCTTGATGGATTCTTGGAAATAACTTGA